ATTTTTTTTTTAAATTCAAAAACTTTATTACCTGTACTTGCACATTTGATTCATTTTCTTGACTTAAGTCAATTTCATCACTATGGCATTCAGAAGAGTCATTTATTGAACGATGTGAGTATAAATTATCATAAAACTCTTTACACTCGTACAATCATTTTCTTCATTTGTAGTGTGGATGTATAATAGAAGTGGACATAGAATTACATTCTTTAATAAATATTTTCTTGCATGAATCTTTCTATCGAACAGGCACCCAATCCAATTTAAATTTTGGATGACTAATAGAAGCAATTATAAAATCTTTGCTTTTTGGATCATTTAGATAAAATAAAAAATTAAATCTCTTCTCTAGACTATTTATAATTGTAAGACTCAAAGGTTTAAAATATATTAGCTGTTCAGATTGATTCATTATCAATAACTTTCTTAAAACTAATATAGTGGGAGCCACATATCCCAAAAAACTTTTTGATTCACCTTGCAATTTGTCTAATGAAAAGGCCAATGGTTTCATAACCTTACAATATTCATTTATGAACCCCCACTCATTATTTTTCAATTTGGGCAAATGAAACTGTTCAAATATTATTGCTATGTCTAGTTTATGATCTAAAATTTTTTGGGTTGCATCATATAATGAATTCCACCGGATCACTATTGGAACTGGAAACTTGCACTTACAAATATCATACACTTTATCAGATGCTGCGGTACTTCGACTTGTTAAATTCCAAAAATTTGACAATTTAGAAAAAGTAGATTTGGATATTTTGTTATAATTGTTATCAGAAATTTTTGAAATGTCACTAGCTGCAATTAAATTTAATGTGTGAGCACGACAAAGCATATGTTTTGGTAGACAAAATGTACCATCGTTCTTAGAGTTTGATTCAGAAGTTAAAAACAAGTTATTGAATTCTACATTTTCTAACTCCAAATTTGAACAGTCTGATCCACTATCAGTATTTGAAGTAACTGAACTGTTTTCATCAAAATTACCTAAATC